GAAAATTCACAATGCACAGATCTGGCATCCAGAAAGAACTCAAAAAGTTGGTTCCTCTGCATCCTCCTTCCATTCTGCTTAGGAAAACAAATTTCACAAGCATGTTCACATTGGAAATTTCACAGATAGTCATGATCAAATCTTCCCTTTTCAAGAATTTAAGAACAAGGTCAAGTGCAGTATCATATGTAAAAAAAAAATCGTAGAAAAATCTATTCATCAGAGGCTGTTAAACACATGGGTTTATGTGTTTCTTTTATTTTAATTTTTGATAGAAGTGGATACAGACACAAAATCAAATGTTATATGGTACTGCTTTCTAAGGAGAACCTTTTCTGCTAGACTCGAGATGAAAAAGAGTAATGACTATTTTCTATCTATAAATCTGGTTCTATTGTTGTCTTCTTAGTCCTATTCGTGTGGAGTTTTTACACCGCCTGCTCTCAGATGGTTGGCCAATTCTGATATGAGACAAAATTGCTGTTACCTGAAGTAGGTGCTCAGAAAAAGCAGGGAAAATGAGAGAAAACACCACTCCTTAACACTTCTGATCTGCAGACCCGCCCTTACTGTTATAAGAAGCCCGGGTTTCCTGAAACCGCAAAGAATCAATCAGTTAATTTTGATTAGAATGTTTTCCTAACAAAATGTATATCTAATGAAAGTGAAGCTGTGGTGAAATCGGCACTCTTATACATAGCTGATTGTCGTTGGAACTAATCTTTGGAAAGGCATTTTGGCAATAAGTATCAAGCCTCTAAATGTTTGTATCCTTTGACCTGGGAATTCTTTCTGGAAAACTATCTTATTGGGGGAGGAGGGCAGTAACCTAATTAGGAAAACAGGTACATGTACAAAGAAACTTATCATGGTGTTATTTTATAACAGTAAAAAAGTATAAGCTGGCCTTGGTGGCTCAGCTTGTAATCCCACGGTTTGGGAGGCTGAGGTGAGTGGATTGCCTGAGCCCACAGGTTCGAGATCCGCCTGGGCAACTTGGCGAGACCTCATCTCTATAGTAAATCAAAAAATTAGCCAGGCATGGTAGCGCGCACCTGTAGTTCCAGCTACTTGGAAGGCTGAGGTGGAAGGATCGCCGGAGCCCAGCAGGTCGAGGCTGCGGTGGCCGGGAGCGGCCACTGCTCTCCAGTCTGGGTGACAGAATGAGATCTCAACTCAAAAAAAAAAAAAAGGTATGGGAAGCAACCTGATAACACCAGCAGTTATATAAACTGTGGTGTATCCACCAGATGGGTGAATCTGTTTACAAGGAGTCTGTCAAAACTTGAATGTTAACACACATATACAATCTTATCGAAAGTATACTTTTAAAAACCAGAAGCAAAATACGAACTGTGCACAATTCAAAAGGTCTGGAAGTAAATATGCTAATTTTGGTAGTGCCAGGCTTCTGATAATAGAGATTTAGAGTGACTTTTATTTCTTTTTATTTGTTATTTTCAGGTTCGTCATAAGGACTATATATAGTATATAACTTTTCTAATCAGTCAAAAGTAATAACAAACACATTATATAAGGAAGTAAACAAATAGATGCCATATGGAATCTCTTGGTTTAGGAGGTGGCCGAGAATGGGATAATTCAGATCAAAGATACAATAAATTGAGTCAATTCCAAAAAAAGGATGGGGCTGGCTGGTGAAGTGCCTTCACTTTTGATACTCGATTCTCAAGCTTGCTGGTTGTTCCCTGGGATTCTGTTAGACCTGGGGAACAGGAGCTGAGTTACTTTTGCCAGGTGCACTGAAATCCCATCGCCAGTGCGTTCACTGTTTATGCATTCACTCTCATTCTTAGTGCCATGATGACGAGGGGGGATCCCAGAAAAAAAACGGAATTTATTTATAAAAATTCGTGTATTTATTCTTATATATTTAAGCTTCAGTCACCTTCAGAGTACTCTGTTTGATGTAATACACCTATTGAGACGCTTTTTCAACTGTTCCCGTTTTTGAACTTGTCAATGTTGATGCCTTTTAGTGCTTCTGCTGTTTTTCGTTTCATCTCTTTCACATCAGCAAAACGTTTCCCTTTGAGGGTTTTTTTCATCAGAGGAAATAAAAAAATGTCACTCGGCACGAGATGGGGTGAACAGGAAGGGCGGGGCATGGGGTTCATGCTGCTTGGGGTCAAAAACTGCTCAACACTTACTGCGGTGTGGGCAGGTGTGCTTGTAAATTACCCATCGTGAAATGGGCAAACACACTGAAAGAATCTCAAAAAAAAAAAAAAAAATTCACTGAAGCCGAAGGCAGCCTCTCACAACAATGCTAGCTGGTACACTGAAGCTGATGAGTTCCTAGAACACATACCTAGTGGGGGAAGCTTGTACTGAAAAGGGCCCACCCTCTCCAAAATCATTCTGTTTTGGGGGGGCTCCCCTCATATCACTGAATGAAAATTTAAAATATTTAGCATTTATTAAGCACTTCCTGTGCACAGGCACTATTGTGGTGCTTTTTATACCTACATTTCACCTACCCTGAGCTTGCAAAAGCTCTTAGTGAAAGGAACTATTGTCTCTGTCTCCACATCCCACCCCGCCCCCTTCTCCTACTTACACAGAGTGCCTTTTAAGAATAAAATTGATTTGGATGAAAGGAAAAAATGGGCAGACTAGGCCACCATTTGTTACAAATAAGGCCTCCCTGATTGTCCATAAAGTTGACAAGAGAAGCATCTTCAAGTGGTCAGAACTCGGAAGCTTCTAGAAACAGAGCACCCAGAAAACCCCACAGGCCTTCTTCTCCCTGTGATGTGGCTGATTTGCTTTAAGGATTTTGAGCATATTTGCTGACGTCAGCAGCCCATCAAAGTTTAAAATAATAATAGTGAAAAGGAAAACAGTCCCTTTCTGCCAGGCAGTGCTGTTTCTGCCAACTTCTGTTCTTTTTGAGTTAATAAACGTCCAAGAATCACCTCCCCTACCACACGGGGGGCGGGGGGGGAAGCATAATAATTTAAAAACCACCAGGTCAGCCCATTGCCAGCATAAACCATTCAGACAAGTAGCATTTTGTCACACTCTAATGAGGATTTTACCTCAGCCTCAAAATGAAAGCTATCATTAGGCTTTGTGTTTATGGGATCAAATGATTGTCTGGGGACAGTGGGTTTCTTTTGGTCCCTTCCTCATTTTAATCACACTCAAGACCAAATACATGGGTGTTTTCTGCATCTGATGAAGCTAAAAGACCGTAATTATGCCAGCTAATGTCTTTTGAAAACATCAATTAAGAAAATGGCCTTTTCGCTCACATTTTAGTTGAAAATCTGCAAACATGCACACATGTTGTCAAACCAGGGAGGTGGCAGCGATGGGGCTGTCTCTCAAAAGCAGACAGCATAAGCGGTGGTTTGACAAGTTCAGAAGGGCAGGCTCCCATCACACGGAGAATCACTGCAAGGGAAGAAACTTCTATATGGAGCAAGACCTCTGAAGTTATCTTCACATGTAGTGTGAAGGTTGATATCAGGCTCCTGCACCAAGCTGGCACCACACACATGCCCATTGTTAATACCTCCTCAGGACAGATTAGATCCCACATTCCTCAGAAGTGCTGGGTTCCACAGGGAAACCGTGCAGCAGGCTCCTTCCACGGGGCCAGCGACTAGCTACAACTGATAAGTTTTCATTGAAATAACTACAACAATGACACTGAGTCCCCACCAGCTCTGTTAACAGCCACTGAGAAGGTGCTGCATTTGTACCACCTGGTGTATACATAGATGTGAGTCAGACAAGAGTAATTCAAGACCGTAGCTCACTTTTAAATGCTTTTTATCCATGGCTACGTGCCGTCGTTAATCAACTTATTCACTCAAGGTATACTACGAGATTGTTCTATTTTTTCTTTTGGGGCCTTATCTAGGAAACTCTGATATTTACACTACCTCAACTTAAGTTTGAACAAGTAACTAATTAATCTCTGACCTGAAGTCGGTTTTGAGTATGGGTAAAATTTGCCGAGGTCACGGTTGGTTTTAATCACATAGCTCAATTTAAAAGCTGAACACTAACAAAGGTCTTTGCTTTCAAGTCTTAGTTTTAACTAGAGTGCTCATTCAACAGCAAATGCAGTTGTGCATAACTTGAATCCTGCAACTTCCTTTATTTTTTTCTCTGAAATAACAGTGACCGAGTCAATGAGGTGGCAATATGAATTAAAGGACAACACACCATGGAAGGAGCCTTTGCAGGAACAGATCCCAAAGGGTTCAGATTCAATTTTAACCAGGATTATGTCTGCCAGGATTTTATAACTCAAAAGGGTTATGTTTGGCTTTTGTAATAGCAAAAGATTATTTTGGGAAAATAATTCCCTTTTAACATATACTGTATTTACTGGGAGGAAATTCGGGGCTAGACCGATACAGTTTAGCCTTTGAAAGAAAATAAAAGGCAAATGATTTAGCAGATGGGTAATTCCCGAATCTGCAGAAATGTAAACAGCCAGGATTTTGGTGCCTACGGGTTTTATCAAAGATGTAAGTAAGGCTGAGACCAACACCAGTGCGTCCTCTTTGGCTAGTTTTAACACGTTTACAGTCACAATTAACATTCAAGGAATTTCCTTTTCATCCAAGTGTTTCTCTTAAAAGCACTTTATGCCACAAACTAAGTTCTAGCTGTCATCAGTCCTTCCCATACAGAAGAGTGGTGGTGAAATCTCTATAATACTTTTTTTTTCCTCCTTTTTTTTTTTTTTGAAAATGGGCTCGGACCACGTCAATTTCCCTGGGGTGCTTGTTTTCCAATATAGGCGGGTTCTCACCTCCCCACAGAGCTTGGATTGAAGAACCGGCTTCCCCGTCCTTCCACACTCAGCCCCCGCCAGAGGAGCCTCCCGCTGCGGGGCAGGCGTCTCCGGCCCTCCCCGGCCCGGCAGGAGCTCCGGGTCCACCCCAGCCTGAGGTTTCCAGTCCCTGAGCCGGCCGGGCCAGTGCATTCTGCAAGAAAGGGAGCAGCGTCGGCCCCGTCTCCCCCCTGCTCCTCCTACACTAGGGATTCGCACACGGGCACCGAGTCCGAGTCCTGGCTGTGCATAGAGCTCAGCCCCGTGTCCGAGTCCTCGTCGTTGCCGGGGCAGCTCTTGGCCAGTCCGCGGGCCTGGTCCACCCACACCTCGGCGCAGGCCTGAGGTCCGGGTTCCCTCGAGGGTCCGCCGGGGCCGGGAGCCCCATCTGGCGCCCCTGTCAGCTCCAACGTGTGCAAAGTCTGGAGGAGGCCCTGCAGCTCGCGCTCCTTGCTGTCCCGCTGCTGCTGGCTGTAATCCAAGTCGGACTTGACGGCCTCCAGGTCCGTGTTGAGCCGGAGCCCGATATACAGGCTGGTGCTGAGCTGCGTCCTGACCCGCTCCTGCTCCAGCAGCAGCTCGCCGTCGGGGCTGCCGTCGGGCTCCGGGGCCTCCTCCCGCGCCGCCAGCTCCTCCTGGCGCCGCTGCATCCACCTCTGGTTCAGCTCCTCCTGAATCTCGGCTGAGAGGCGCTCGAGCAGCTCCTCCTGCTGCACCCGCTGCTCCTGCAGCCGCAGCAGGTCCTCGCAGCGCCGGGCCAGCTCCGCCATCGCCGCCGCCTGCACCTCGTCGTCCAGGGGCGGCGCCGCCGCCGCCGCCGCCGCCGCCGCCGCCTCCGGCTCTTCTCCCGGGCTGGGCTTGTCCGGCTCGAGGTCCGCCCCCACCAGGTAAGTGTCCTGCACGTAGTTGACCCCGTGCCGCCTCATGCGGTCCAGGTGCACCTTGGCCTCGTAGCGGTCGATCTCGCGGTCCA